AAGACCAAAATAATGCGCCAAAATGAAACTCAAAACATAACCTGACATTATGTTCTTTTGAGAGCTGTAATTAATTGTCCAAGTATTAAGGGACTGGACTTCCTACTGGAGACTAAAATTGACAACAAGCCAAAAACCCTTTACTGTTAACCCTTTTTGTCAGTTATTCATAGTTGGTTGAACAAATTGTCACATCTATAGAACACTAGAGTTAATGCTAGGCAGGAGGAATCCTAAGACTCAATGTTCTGTAACACAATCCTAGCCCCCAAAAGGAACCTGTTGGTTCCACTGCACCATCAAGCTAAGAAAACCCAGGAATGGCAACTTCAGATAAGAATAGCTAAGGGTGTACAGTGAGTCATGCCAGGTGAGTAAAAGCAGTGCCCTCAGAATAATTATTTTGTCCACTTACCAGGGATGTATCCAATTCAGGAAGTGGGCATGACATGTTAAGATCTGAAGCAGTGTAAGCTTGAGTGCAAGTCTACCAATGATGACTACAGTGCTGTGATTTAACAATCAACAGGTGGGTGGACACCATGGCAGCTCTGTCAAGCACAGCGCTCTACTAGATGCTCTACTAGGTGCTCTATTAGGTACTCACACTACTTGCAGCACCCAAGTGGATGCTGTTTTGACCTTCCTTGGCTAGACTTCTACACTGTTAATATGTGTTCTATGTTGAGACAATGTATATTTACCAAGAATGAACACAAAGCCAAAGTGGAAACTTTGGACAGAAATACTAGAAGGGCTAAAAAGGAGCAGGAAGAGTAACAAATGCTGTGGACACCTATAATTCTCTCACCAAGCAGAACTTAATCCTAAAGTTTACATATGGACTGTTTTTGTTTTGTTTTGTTTGTTGTTGCTGTTGTTGTTTAAAACAAAGTCTGGCGGTGTAACCCAGACTAGCCTCAATCTCATCATCATCATCCTATCTCAGCCTCTCAAATGCTGAGATTATGGTCAAGCACCACCACACCCAGTGGTTGGTCCTCTTTTTCTGGTGGGGCAGTACTGAGGCTTGCTTTTTTGCTTAAGGCTGGGGCTCTACCACTTGAGGCACTTCTGATTTTTTGTGGTTAGTTGGAAATAAGAATCTCACAGACTTTCCTACCCAGCCTGCCTTCAAACCATGATCTTTGATCTCTGTATCCTGAGTAGCTACAATTACAGGTGTGAGCCACTGGGCTAAGTAGGTTGGTCACTTTGCTTGCCTTTCACAGCTAATCAACATGTGAACTGAGGCACTGAATTCACTGCTGAATTTAGCATTGTTTTTGAAAGGGCTCTTTACTCCCCTCCCTGTCATATACTTCATTATTCTCTATAGTACATATCACAGTCTGACATATAGAAACCATTTATCTTCTGCTCCATCTCCAGAAAAAAAAAAACTACAAGGTAAGTTGCACATAGGCAGGGACTTTATCTCTTTGTTCCTTGCTATGTAGTTATTTGCTACAGAGTTCTTTCCTAAGTGAATAAATTCTGCAAATATTTAAATCTAGCCTAATGTGTACTAGAAGTTTTTCCTTTTTTAGACAGTTTCTCATTTAGTCCTCACAAACCTTTAAGGTATTATCATTACCATCAAAAAAACAAAAACAAAAAAAGACACCAGTTGCTGGTGGCTTACACCAGTAATCCTATCTACTCACGAGGATGAGAGCTCAAGATCATAGTGTAAAGCCAACCCAGACTGGAAAGTCCATTAGCCTCATTTCCAACTAGCCATCAAAAATCCAGAAATGGAGCTCAAGTGGTAGAGTACCAGCTTTGAGCAAAAAAGCTAAGGGAGAATACCTTGGCCCTGAGTTCAAGCCCTAGTATAAGCACACACAAAGCAAGACTTAACAAGGTTAAATATATTGCTTACAGTAACAAGTTTCCAAGTAGAAAAGCCAAGATATAATCCCAAGTCTGAGTCAAAAGCCCCCAGCCACTCAGGTACTTTAAAGACATGATTAAATACTTAGTATTTAATTACTGGTGGCTTACACCAGTAATCCTGTCTACTCAAGAGGATGAGATCTCAAGATCATATAGTGTAAAGCCAACCCAGACCTAACTAAACCTAACACTTACTGTTTACTAATGATATCTGGTAAATCTGCCATCTAGAAGACAATTTATCATTGAATAACCAACCAAAAGTAGAAAATACTATTTTTTTAAATAACAGAGTTATTTTTGAAAGAAGCCCAGCAGTAGCAATTGACTGAATTCCTTCCAGTATGCTAAGTTGTATGAAGAAAAGTACAATGCTAGGAATCACTAACAAGAGGCTCTCAAATAGAGAATGTGTTTAGTCCATGACATTTATGAAAACCCTACAGTTTCCTAAGATTCTAGCATAGTTGTACTCATTTATGCAAATAAGAGTAGGAAGTCCTTTGTAATTCTAACAGCTCTGACAGACTACCTTCTTTTATCATTGTGCTTTTCCACTTTTGAAAATATTTTCCCAAGAGGAATAATGTAATTGTAGAAATTTATTTAAATAAAATATCATAAAAACTTTCAACATCTAGCACTTTCCCTAGAAACCCAAGACAAAGACTCAGAGAAAAGGAAACAGAGAAACAAAAGGTAAGGGAAATTATTGTCCTAAGCAGTAACATAGGTGAAGTTACTCTTGTTGATCTCATTCTTTCTCTGAACAATTCCATGAGCTAGAAAAGTCTTTTTTTTTTTTTGGGTCCGGTCGTGGGGCCTGAACTCTGGGCCTGGGCGCTGTCCCTCAACTCTTCAGCTCAAGGCTAGCGCTCTACCACTTGAGCCACCGCGCCACTTCCGGCTTTTTTCTTTTTTGCTTATGTGGTGCTGAGGAATCAAACCCAGGGCCTCAGGCATGCAAGGCAAGCACTCTACCACTGAGCCACCTTCCCAGCCCCTAGAAAAGTCTTGAAAAGAGCAAATCAAGGCCAGGCACTAAAGGCTCATGCCTGTAATCTTGGCTACACAGAAGGCTGAGATCTGAGGATCATGGTTCAAAGTCAACCCCAGCAAACAAATCCAAGAGACTCTTATTTACAATTAACAAGCCAAGAGCCATGAGTGGAGGTGTGGCTCAAGTGCTAAAGCAATGTCCCTTAAGCTAAATTTAAAGCCAAGGGACAAAGGAGAAGTGCCCAGGCCTCGAGTTTAAGCCCCAATACGATTAAAAAAAAAAAGCAAATTAAGTAACATTACTGAGCCACAAATAGTAAATGAATGTCCCTCCATTTATAAAGTTCAAAAATGTCACAGGAAGATCCCAGTACAGAAATAAGCCAACTATGACTATCTGTTCTGTTCTCACTCAGGGAAGTTAACTCCAGTTTTATAGCCATATTCCAAATTACCAAGTGAATGAGGGAACATCAAGTCCATCCAAAAGCAGCTATTATGGCAAACCTTACCTGCCTAGAAAACAACACAAACTGGCCTGATACATTTTTTAAAAGATGAACTCTAAACTAGCATTCCAACTTCTGTTATCCCTGACTGCATCCACCCATGACACATCCTTGACATTATTACTATTCCCACCATCAGAATTCTGGGCTTGTTCTCTATTGTTTTCTTAATTGCTACATTCACAACACTCTGAGCCTACAGCAATGAATAAATTAGCATTTTGAAATAAATGATTGCTGGTACAATGAATCAATGAATGAGCAAGCTTTCTCTTCTTAGCTGCCAAAGGGAGAAAAATCATACTACTTTTAGAAATTGTTGGGAGAATTAAATAGGATGTTAACACTGCATTTTGGTAGGCCCTCCCTCCTCCCCAAAATAAATGCCCAAACAAACAAGTTCTTTGTATTTATAGGTTCTGGATCGATCCATTATAGAAAACAAACCCCACCTCTTACCAGAGACCCAAGGAGGAGACACAGGAAACTGAGGACAGTCACCTGAGCCAGGGTAAGGACAGAATGGAGGAGGTGGTGGCCTTGAGCCTGGAGCTACAGTAGAGTAAGTGAAGATGGATGGGCTATATTCCAAAAGAGAGAGGTGGGGGCTGGCCTTATGGAGAGTAAGCTGACAACATAGCAAGAAAAGGCTGCCCAGAACCTGTGGGAAGGGGCAGGGGAGGACAGGCCCGGCGGGGGGAGGGGGGAGGGCATGGGGAGGACCTGTGGGGAGGTCATGGGGAGGCAGGCCCGGCGCGGGGAGGGAGGAGGGCACGGGGAGGACCTGTGGGGAGGGCATGGGGAGGCAGGCCCGGTGGGGGGAGGGGGGAGGGCATGGGGAGGACCTGTGGGGAGGGCATGGGGAGGCAGGCCCAGCGGAGGGAGGGGGGAGGGCACGGGGAGGACCTGTGGGGAAGCATGGGGAGGACCTGTGGGGAGGGCATGGGGAGGACAGGCCCGGCGGGGGGAGGGCATGGGGAGGACAGGCCCGGCGGGGGGAAGGGGGAGGGCACGGGGAGGACCTGTGGGGAGGGCATGGGGAGGACAGGCCCGGCGCGGGGAGGGAGGAGGGCACGGGGAGGACCTGTGGGGAGGGCATGGGGAGGACAGGCCTTGCGCGGGGAGGGAGGAGGGCATGGGGAGGACAGGCCCGGCGGGGGGAGGGCATGGGGAGGACAGGCCCGGCGGGGGGAGGGCATGGGGAGGACAGGCCCGGCGCGGGGAGGGAGGAGGGCATGGGGAGGCAGGCCCGGCGCGGGGAGGGAGGAGGGCATGGGGAGGACAGGCCCGGCGGGGGGAGGGCATGGGGAGGACAGGCCCGGCGCGGGGAGGGGGGAGGGCACGGGGAGGACCTGTGGGGAGGCATGGGGAGGACAGGCCCGGCGGGGGGAGGGCATGGGGAGGACAGGCCCGGCGGGGGTAGGGCATGGGGAGGACAGGCCCGGCGGGCGGGGGTGGGGGGGGGGAGCGGAGAAAGACAGGCCCGAACGCACGGTGCACTTAGAGGCCTCATTCCGGGCCGAGGCCCCAGCGGCCCTCGAGCTCACTCCTCCGGGCTGGGAGCCCCGAGCCTGCCCGCCGCCCCGCTCTTACCCGCTCGCAGGTCTCCACGAAGGGCCGAGAGGGACCTCGGAGGAACAGGGACACCTCGAGACCAGCCTAAGGGCCGAAGGCAGAGTTATCGCGAGAGCTCGCCCTCCTCCAACGCCTCGCCCCGCTCTTCTGACAGTCTCGCGAGACCTGTGCGGGCTCTCCGGAAACCCCGCCACTGCCCCCTAGAGGGCTCGGGGTGCGGCGCCCTGCGCGGCGTCCGCCCTGCTGGCTACTGCAGTACACATGATACAAGATTCAGATTCTGTATTTAAGCATTGTTACAGCATTGTTAAAAACTGTGAAAAGCACGGCTGTGGATGAGAAGCCTTCGTTAATGCACCCTTCTGGAAGTCTCTTTTACCTTTAATTGTGCTGAGATGTTAAGGACTGGAGAGAAAGAATTCCCTAAGCAGGACTCCAGACCCTTTTTAGAGCTCCAGCTGCCTTAAGCAGGAGTCTGCTAGCCAGGCATCCACAATGCCCTCATGTCAACAACACCCAAAGTACAATTGTGGCTCCAAAAGGTGCTGCGCTAGCAAGCAGCTTACACACTATTGCAGGCTATATTGCACTCTGTTGGGACCACAGTAGCCACCTGCACCCAGGCCAGTTGAATGAGCACCTCCTTTCCCTGATGGCAGGGCTCCTGTTTAACAAGTGTGAGAAGCTTTGAGGTCAAACCCCTGTACCTGGAAGAGTAGACAGTTCAAACTCTGGTACCTCTAGAAGGAGGAGGAGCTGAAGAGGGAGGACCTATGATTAGTGACAGGGACTATACCATGATTGGTGCAAACAGAATCCTTCATTTGCATCAGTGGAATGCTAGGATTGGCACAGTCACAGTTATCATAATCCTTTCTGGCTAAGCAGGCTGCCCAACTCAATGTGAGCAGCTGGGAGAAACTTCCTGTGCTGCAGTATGGCAATATTAGCTCTGAATTAAAGACTTTCTCTCAAGTGATCTTACAGTCTTGCTGTCTTTGATGAGCTGGCAATAAAAATAGAAAATAAGTCTATTGGGCTGGCAAGGTGGCTCAGTGGTAGAGTGCTTGCCTTACATGCATGAGGCCCTGGGTTCGATTCCTCAGCACCACATAAGCAAAAAGAAAAAAAAAAGCCGGAAGTGGATCTGTGGCTCAAGTGGTAGAGTGCTAGCTTTGAGCTGAAGAGCTGAGGGACAGCACCCAGGCCCAGAGTTCAAGCCCCACGACCAGACTCCCCCTCCCCCCCAAAAAAAGAAAATAAGTCTATTATTTCATTCTAGACAGAACAGAAAGACCCCAAGTAAATAATTTGTAACAATTCCACCTAGACACAGAGCAAGCCAAATTCTTTTGTCAAATACATTTTTATTTTGTTGATACGTAGTTTAATTATACATATTAGTAGTGTACAGTGTTACTTTACAATATATAGGTACAATGTGTGATGATCACATTTGGATCATTGGCATGTCACCTCAAACATCATTTCTTTGTAGAAGAAATTGTGAAAAGTTTCTCTATTTGATATGTTGAACATCCAATTAACTTGTCAACTATACTTGTCCTAATATGCTATAAAGCATGAGAATTTTATTTTCTTATTCAGCATCTACTACCCCATTATGAGAGTAGTCAAATACTTAGAAAGAGAACTATGGGTACAAGACTGGAAAAAGTGGTGTAGGGAGTCATCATTCAATAGGTATAAAATACCAGTTTGGGGTGATAGAAAGTTCTGAATTTGAATCACGGTAATGGTTGCACAATATAGATGTACTCAATGCCACGGAATGCACACTTACAAAATATTTTGTTACACATTTTATGTGATGTAAATTTTACCTCTTTTTTACTTCTTCCTTATTTCTTTCTGTAAGGTATATTAAATAGGTAGGTTTCATTAGATAGCCGATGAAGAGAACACCACGCACTATTCAGGCAGGAAAAGTTTATTTACTGAACTGCTGCCCCCTCCATGCATGGTGGAGAGGCATGGCTGAAAAGGAAAAGGGGCCACCCACCCCTGGGCCAGGACTTATCTAGGTCGGGGACAGGAAGAGGTGTGGCCTGGTGGGGGAAAGGTATGGCCACACTGGATCCAGACATGATCTCAGGGTCTGGGACCCTCCTAAGGTTAGATGGGAGGCATGTGACCAGCAGTGGCCCAGAATGTGACCTAGTAGGAGGGGAAGGTAACTGCTTCCAGGTCAGCCAATTACCTAGGTAACAGACACTGGGCAGAAACTTAGCCAAGAGGTTGGGAGGTGTCCCTGTGCAGACCTTACACTTTCCTCCCTCCCTTCCTTTCCTCTTTTTTCCCACCTTACCTCCTCTTTCCTTTTTCGGGGGAGGTGCTGGGATTAAACGCCTGTGCATGCTAATGAACAAGCATGCTGCCACTTAGCTATACCCCTAGTCCTTAGTGTTTTGAGACCGGGTCAACACTTGAAATACTTGAAATACTCTTGTTTTAACCTCCTGAGTGTTTTGATTACAGGTGTACACCACTATGCCAAACTTGCAATATTTTTAAAGATTAAGCAAATAAATGTCAAGTCCAGATTCTAACCCCCATTACCTGACTCCATGTGAACCATATCACAACACACTTTGAATCCTACTATGCTTTCTCTCCCTTTTTTCCTTTTCTGGTATAACATGATGCATGTGGATTTTTTTTTTTTTTTTGGTTGGTTTACCTATGACCAGATGCTAAAATGGGTCTCTTTTGTCTTGATTTGACTGAAGTCCCCCAAGCTAATGCCAAGTGCTCCATTACATTTTCCAGCAATGGATAAGGTCATACAGGGCCCTGTGGGTCCCCTCCCAGGTGATTCCTACAAGCTCAAGGCAACATCAACAGAAGTAGGAGACACACATGCAGATGCAGAAACTGTAAGAACATTGGAGCCTGTGAATGGAAAAGGAGCTGTGGAGAAAAAGGAACAGAAGAGAGTTGTCCCAGAGGCCAGAAAAGCCCCAGAGAAAGAAACCAGCTTGATGACTTCCTCAGACAGGAACCAACACTACGTGGTGCCCTTAAATCTCCCATCCTTCTTCCATTCCTTCTTCGAGCATGTTGTAGACTGAGGAATGAAAGTTCTTTGTATGTGAAAGTGACTGAATACTTCTTTGTTACTGGATTGCTCAGAGGCACACATAGCATGTTTGAACAGATAGGGTTTAAGGGCAGGGGAAATAGAGTACTTCATCACTTACCTCCCTGTTTATCCAATAGCTATACTTGTCTGTGGGATGTCATATACACAGTCCAGATCAGCCTGGCCTACACACTCAGATAAGTGTTGAGTGAATGTATATTATCCGTGTTACTGTTTGAAGTCACTCCATTTTCAGTGATCTGTCTGCAGTTATAGAAAGTTGATACTGAACTCATATACCCAGGTCATTCCCCACTACAGACAGAGCCTTAAATTTTGAGTTCCTTGTCAGGGTGTATGAGATCCTGGGGGTATTTTTCAAGCTGTTCTGTAATCTGCTCTAAACTCAAGCAAATGCAGTGGATCCTGGGGACTCAAGAAAAAGGAAAGTTCTTGAAGAAGAGGAAGGAAAGGCAAACATGAGTATATTACAAACTCTTCTTGAATACATAATTTTTTCACTGTTCATTAGAAAAGGAGGACATGGGCAGCAGAATGCTGACATCAGAAATGGAAGAAATGGCAGTGGTCCCTAGGAAAGGACATAGGATTATTTATTGGAGAGTTAGAAAAGTATTGTAACTTTTATCTATTTTTGTCTCCTTTAAATATTTGTATATTCTATAATGTGCATTAAATCGATGCAAAAAAAATTGGTAAATGTAAAGTATACACATATTCAAATGTTTGCTCAGAAGTTTTTACTATCAGGTAGTGCTACACAATCACAGAATATCAAGGCTGTTGAAAAATGGGCCTGGATTGGGCAGGCTGATGCTACTCATGGGATCTTGTTCTCTACAATACCCAGCTGTTGACATCACATATCTTTCCTGGGTCATCTCGCTCCACCACGCTATACGTGCAGTTCTCCTTATAGAAGATAGTCTTGCAGTTGAGTCTGTCATAACCTGAAGGCACAGGAACTCTGTCATTGAAACAAAAACAAGACAAGTTAGAAGGGAAGGGTACCTAGCCACTCTGTGCTGCTGTCCAAGAAGCCCTGTGTAGAGAGCAGTCCACACACCAGCAGGCTGGGAGGCCCCTCACCAACCTAATAGCACCTCTTGGCAAGCAGCCTGAAAAACCTAGACCTGTCTGTTCCATAGAGTGACACAAACCATTCCTACCATCCCTCCTTCATGCTCACAGCAGGGAGGAAATGCTAACAGGGCCAGGGACTGGCCTGGGTTACTCTGGCACTGGGAACTTTTCTAGACAGGGCCTTCCCAGCCTTCCTGATCAAGAAATGATCACAATAATGTTGCTAGAAGTGGGAGGGCAAAAGTTGTCCCAGGCCTCACCCTTTAGAAAGGAAGCGAATTCAACCAACAGAGGCAAAGACGCACCCTAAATCAGGGAAAGAAGCAAAGGAGAAGCTGGTGGAAGTGGGGAAATCCACCTATGCATTCAAGGAATTTTAGGGTTTATTTCCTCTTAATGCCCATCTGGGCATCAAGGTGTAAATTGTCCTGGGTGTAAATTGTCCTGCCCCACATGTACAGAAGAAGTCCCCTCTGAGATCACTTTTTTTTTTTGTTTTTGGGTCCAGTCGTGGGGCCTGAACTCTGGGCCTGGGCGCTGTCCCTCAGCTCTTCAGCTCAAGGCTAGGGCTCTACCACTTGAGCCACAGCACCACTTCCGGCTTTTTTCTTTTTGCTTATGTGGTGCTGAGGAATCAAACCCAGGGCCTCGAGGCATGCAAGGCAAGCGCTCTGCCACTGGGCCACCTTCCCAGCCCCTGAGATCACTTTTTTTGAAAGAAAGTTTTATTGGCCTATATTATAACAAAAGATATTTCAGTGCCCTTTCCAAAATTGTTCTAGACCAATGTCACTCTTCTGTCCTCTGTCTGGCTCCCAGCACACCTGGATTTTCAGCCCTTGTTGGGGCAGAAAAGGAAGATGGTGAGAAGTCTGTTATGGCCAACTAGGATACTGGGCGCTGAAGCCAGAGGACTGGGCATAGCACAGAATCATTGGCATAGTGTCCTGTAAATGCAAGCAAACTCTGGAACTTTGCCTTTGGCTCTTGTGATCTGCTTTAATTCTTTTTAAGACTAAGGGATGGTTAAGTAATACTTTGAACATTTTTAATAGAACAGAATAGTATTACTGCAAGAATATTAAATGGAAATTAGAGTAAGTTATTATAGTAAAAGATTTAACATCCACTATCTAGAAGAAGAAAAGGTTTAGAAACAAAACAAAGAATTTAGAATAAAACATTAAAAGTCATCACTTTAAGGCAATGGTATTGTTAAATTTTCTTTCATATATGTCATAACTAACCAAAAGTAAAGGCTGCTGGGCACCTATGATTCATCCCTATGATCCTAACTACTCAGGAGGCTGAAATATGAAGCTTGGGTAGAAGAGTTGATGAGACTTTTATTTCCAATTAGTCACCACAAAGCTATACGTGGAGCTATGGCTCGAGTGGTAGAGCATGAGCTTTGAGCAAAAAGCTGAGAAACAGTGCCTCAGCTTTGAGTTGAAGCCCCAGTACTGGCAAAACTAAAATTAAATAAATTATATAAATAAAGGTAAATCAATCAATATATAAATAGATCAACAAACATTGTCTCAAAATCATACAGCATATTATTCCAGGAAGAAAAGAAATAAAATACTTTCCTATACAACGTGAATGAATCTCGAAAATGTGTTGAGTGAATGGACCAGCGGAAAAAGACAAATACTGTAATTTAATTTACAGGAAGTATCTGGAATAAAGCAAATGCATAGTGCAGAAAGCAAGTTAAATGTTACCAGGTCAGGGAAGCATTGTGGAAAGTATTGTTTAAAGGATATGGAGTTTTAGTTTGGGGTCATAACAAGATTTTAGGTATAGTAGTGATGGTCATATAACATTGCAAATGAACTGTGTCATGTTGTATAGTTTTAAATGCCTAAAATGAGAAATTTCATGTGATATATATTTACTCCAGAATAAGTTAAAGTAATGGCTACTAAAGAGACAGCTATTCTTTTACAAGTTTTGAGTAGAAAATACAATATCATACTTCACCCAGCTAAGTACAGGTAGAAGTTGATGTAGCAAAGGACATATCTCTGGATGCATTTCTTGGTGTTATTAGGGCCTCAGGGCCTCACACTTGCTAGACTTAACACTCCATGACCAATACCACCAGTCTGTTGAAGTCTAGTAAATTTTGGGTCCAGGCTAGACTCAGATTCTCCAGGTCTCAGCTTCCTGAGCAACTAGGATTATAGGTTCAGACCACAGGTGAGTGAATGCATATTTTAATAAAGTCAGACCTAGCCTTACAGCATAAACACATGAGACACTGAGAAGAAACACTTAGGCATCTAGTCATCAGCTTCCAGACATGGAGGCCAGAAGACCTTGACCCTCTGGCTCACTCACTAAATGTAGGGCTTGGATCTGGGCAGTTCTGGCCCTGGGAAAACAGTAGGCCAGGATATCTCTGGTCTTCCCACACTCTGGATCTTCTTGGATCTTGTCATAGGCCTGAGTTCATGGACTACCTAGAAATCTGGCCATATTGGTATCTCATAGAGAATGCAATGTGTCAAAAAAAATTCTTCCAGAGAAAGCTTATTGCAAATATATACATACACACACACACACACACACACACACACACACACACACACACACACACACACACACACACACACACACACACACACACACACACACACATATATATTCTGTAGCCAAAAAGATATTCAACAGCAGAGCATATTGGTAGGAAGTGAGGCAATTCCAGTAAGGGGTAGATTCACAACTGTATGAAGAAATGGAGACATTTTTCCAGGGTGGAGCAACAGACAAATGACAAGGCAGAAGGAAAGGAATTTAAGTCTTGATTGTGTACCAGTCACTGCTATAGATATAGTAGATATCAATAATTTGTCTGGATTCATGAGTTTATGTGCACACTCTCATTTCATTCTCATATAACCAGGTTATCCATATTTTACAGTGAGGAAAATCAGAGACATACTCAAGTATACATAGCTCATGTTCAAGGAGTAGAAATTCAAGCCAAGACTACTGTCACTCAGCACTGAGGCTCTTCTGGCTTCTCTGCCAGGAGCACTCCTGGTTCTGCTCTACAGTAGGTCCAGGGAATCCCAGAAGAAGGTCTTATTGACATGCTGTGAGGACGTGTCCTGAACCTAATGTGGATCCAAGTTACAATGATAGTTGTTGCAGACTAAGTCAAACACCCAGAGACACAAAAAAATCAAGATTGACTTGTTCCAGGACAATGCAAAACCTAGGAGCTTGCTCCAGTCAGTCTGCCCAATAAGTCTCCTAAGCTGACACTCTTCCTTCTCTATTTGCCCTGAGACTTGCTCCACACTGTGGGCAGAACCCTGGACATTTGAGCTTGATAGCCTTTGGCCCTCTGATGGGTCATAAGCTTGCTCCTCTGAGAGGCAAGTTTGGGAAATGCTACCTTACACAGTGATGCTGTCATCAAAAATACTCCTACTGGCCTGGGGGTGTAGCTCAGTGTCAGAGCACTTGCCAACTAGTGGGGACCCTACACCACAATTGCAACACAGACAAAACAAGAAAAAAACCATTCTTGCCGGGCGCTGGTGGCTCACGCCTGTAGTCCTAGCTACTCAGGAGGCTGAGATCTGAGGATCGCGGTTCAAAGCCAGCCCGGGCAGGAGAGACCGTGAGACTCCTATCTCCAATAAACCACCAGAAAACTGGAAGTGGCGCTGTAGCTCAAGTGGTAGAGCGCTCGCCTTGAGCTGAAGAGCTGAGGGACAACGCCCAGGCCCAGAGTTCAAGCCCCACGACCGACAAAAAAAAAAAAACCATTCCTGTCCTCAAAAAACACTACAGACCAAGGTTAAGTGACAGAGAGACACCAGGAGGTAAGAGTCTCATGAGTTTGGAGATGCTGGGAAAGATATGGCTGCTGTGAGTGTACTTCAGATGCTCTGTGTCCTACCTGCTCATGGACCCCTTCCTCCACTAGCAATCTAGCAGAAAATACCTACATAATCTTTGGGCCACTGTGAGGTCAACATTAGTTGCAAAAGGATCTGTAGGACAAGACACATTACTTGCCATCTAATGTACCTCCAATCTCTTCCCTCTGTCCTTAGATCTTTTGTGTTCTCAAAAATCTCCAAGGTCAAAGCCAGAGTGACCACTGGGCCAACTTCTAAAACAGCATTAAGGAATATCTAGATACATGTTTGAATATAGTTAATTAAGAGTGGGATACTAACCAATTTTCACAAACAACTTTCAAAATAAGGCAGGTCCTGTGGCTCATAAATAAGCATTAATAGGAGGACTACAGGCCAGGTAGTCCTGGGGGAAAAGTACAGCCTTATTAAACAAATAATGAAGCAGAAAAGACTGGAGGCATGGCTCAAGTAGTATAACATCTGCCTACCAGTTACAAGGCTCTTGAGTTCAAATCCTAGTACTACCAAGCATAAAAATGCATAAAACTCAGAAGCAGCCCGAGTATCCATCAAGAGACAAACAGATAAGCCTAAAGTGGTACGTCCATAGAATGGAATGTTAAAGTCCTGGAAAAGGAAGTAAATTTTGGTACATTGTACATATATAAATCTTAAGAACATTGTGCTTAGTGTAGGACTCTGGTCTCCAAAGGACAAATACTATTCGATTTCACTATGGGAGCTTCCTACAGTACTCCCATTCATAGAAATAGAATGAGAATGGCATTTGCCAGGGCCTGGTGGGAAAACGCTCTAGGGAATGAGTGATGAGTATAGGTGTTGAGCTAAGCTTTGGATGTCTTGTTTAGAAGACTAGTTTGATTTAATTTTTGATACAGAGTCCTGCTCAGGTTGACCGCAAATTCATGGTCCTCCACCTCAGCCTCTTGAGTGCTGGGATTACAGGTGAATGCTGCTAAAATCTGCTGTTTTCTTTGTTTTTATTTTTTTCAGCTTTCTTGAGATGGAAGTCTCACATGTTGCCTAGCCTGGTCTTGAACCTGTGAGCTCAAATAACTCTCCTGCTCCCAGCTCCTGAGTAAGTGCACACACGCGCACACCATCCATCATACCACATCAGCTCCAGAGTATTAGCTTCACAAGATGGAAAGACCTGGAAGATGAGTGCAGGTGTTGGTTGTACAAGAGGAATGGACTTGATGCCAAAGAACTAGTATATGTTTAGTGCTTATAATGAATTTTTTTTGTCTGTCCTGGGGCCTGAACTCTGGGCCTAGGCCCTGTCCCTCAGCATTTCAGCTCAAGGCTAGTACTCTACCACTTGAGCCACAGCGCCACTTCCGGCTTTTTCTGCTTATGTGGTGCTGAGGAATCGAACCCAGAGCCTTAAGCATGCAAGGCAAGCACTCTACCACTGAGCCACCTTCCCAGCCCCTATAATGAAAATTTTTGTGTCATGTCTGTTTTACCAGGAAAAAAAATATTACTAAAGCCCCACTTTCTCCCCTACCCTCACCCCATAACATCAAAATGAACCCTAATGTGCACTCTGGACTCTGGATTATGACAATGAAGTGTCAGTGTAGATTCACCCCCTGTAGAACATATGTTCTGTAGTGGAGATGTTGAGAATAGTATTATGGTCTGGGGTGATGAGAGAGACTTTGGGGAAATGTCTGTACCTCACTTGATTTTGTTGTGAATCTAAAACTATTCTAAAAAACGACTCTGTTAGGCCAGGTGCAGTGGCTTATGTCAATAATCCCAACTACTCAGGAGGCAGAGAGTTGGTGGATCAGTTTTTAAGACCAGAAAGTAAAGAAAGTTAGTGACCCTTCCCCCCTGCATCAACCATCCCAAGAAACAAGCTGTGCATGGTGATTCAAACATGTCGTACCAGGTATGCAGAACACATAGGTTCCTGGCTTGAGGCAGTCATAGGGACAAAAATTAAACCCTATCTAGAAGAAAAAGAAAAAGGAAGAAGGAATTGCTCAACTGGTAGAGAGAGACCCTGCCTTCCAATCTCAGTATTAAAAAAAAAAAAGTCACCTAGTGCTGATGGCTCACACCTGAATCCTCACTATCCAGTAAGCTGAGATACGAGAATCACAGTTCAACGCCAGCCTCAGGCAAGAAAGTTCATGAGATTCTTACCTCCAATTAACCACCAAAAAGCTGAAAGTGCAGTTTTGGCTCAAGTGTTAGAGCACTAGCCTTGAGCAAAAATAAATTCAGCACCCAGGCCTTGAGTTTAAGCTACACACACACACACACACACACACACACACACACACACACACACACACACACACACACACACTGAATCTTTTAATAAATACCATCCAGGCCTATACTTGGAAGATCTCTTCAGTCCAGGAGTTCAAGACCAGCCTAGACAATATAGTGAGAACACCACTTCCCTCTCCTTCCCCCCGTGCCTCCCCCCCCCTCCCCGCCCCCACCCCTGCCAATCTCAAAACATAGCAAACAAGATAAATCCTGAAAAGAAGGAGTTTTGAAAGAGGGAGGGGGGGTGGGGGGGCACTACAGACAGACATTTCCATGCCCTCTGGATACCACTGGCCACACCCCCTAGACACCACTGGGGAAGGGAGGAGGAGAGTGGGGCGGTGGGGGGGGGGGGGGCGGGCAGTGCACACGGGGAGACTTACTTATTGCAACACTGAATTCCCTCTTCGTTGCAGGTGCACTCAAAACAGTTTTCAGTCTGCCAAGTCTTGTGAACTGGGTATTTGGCTCCATCAGTATCCTGGCATTCTGAAATGAGACTTAAGCTTCATGAAGAGTCCCCAAGTCATACAACATGAATTCGGGCTAGTTCCTACCTCAGATAAATAGGCAATTTTACAAGTATCTGAGCAAGTGCTTCTGTGGTCATCCAAACAGAATACAAAGCAGTCTATGACACTGATAAAGTTTCTTAGCTCATGCTTAAATCCTTGAGATTGTACTTCAGAATACATATTTCAAGAGCAAGTGGAACAAGGAGCCTGTGGCTCATAACTGTAATCCTAGCAACTCAGGAGATCTAACGATTAATATCTGAAGCTAACAAGACTCTTATCCCCAATTAACTACCAAAAGGTGTGGCTCAAGTGGTATAGAATGCCAGCCTTGAGTGGCCAAAGCTAAGGAACAGTGTTCAAGTCCTAAGTTCAAGCCCCAGTACTGGCACACACACACATATGGAAACTCAATCAAGAAACTTTTCAATTAGGAACTTTAATTTTACCTTGTGCCAATACTGGGGCTTGAACTCAGAGCCTTATACCATTGCTCCTCACACTACAACTTGAACCTTGTCTCTAACTGAGTTTTGTTTTGTTTTTTTGTTTTGTTTTGTTTTGTTTTTTTGCTGTTAATCGGAGGTAGAGTGTCACCACTTTTTCTGCCTGGCCCAGCTTTAAACAGAAATTCTCAGATCTCAGGCTCCTGAGTAGCTAGTATTTTAGGCATGAGCCATCAATACCCTGCTTCAAAAGCTTTTAAATGTTCAGCTCCCACCCCAGAGAGTCTAATCTGGAAGATGAGGCCTCAGCACAGGTAAATTTAAAAAGCCCACCCTTCTGGCAATTCTCTGACCACTAGAATTTATATTCTTGCCTCACATCCTGGGCAAACTGACATCTCTCACATGCTCATCACCACATGAATTCAAGGGTAATGGGCCAGAAATTCAGTCTGCCAACAGGTTCTATTTTCCAGGCTGCCATAACATAATAAAGAAAAGGCAGGACTTACCATCAGTTAAATTCATACCAGGTTCGGTACCTGGTATGAAGTAGCACTGGGCATTGCATGAAGTCATAAAGGTGGCAAGGACCACAAAGCTGCCCAGGAGAGCTTTCTGTAAGGGAAGGTCAGAGTGGAGAATGAGTGGATCCACGTATTTATTTTACTCCTCCTCCTCCTCCCCCCTCCTCCCCCTCCTCCTCCTCCTCCTCTCCTCCTCCTCCTCTTCCTCCTTTTCTTCTTCTCCTCCTCTTTCTTCTTCTTGGTGTGGGTACTGAGGCTTGAAGTTAAGGTTTGGGCACTGTCTCTGAGCTTTTTCACTCAAGGCTGGCACTGTACCACTTGAGTCCCAGCCCACTTCTGACTTTTTGGTGGTTAATTGGAGATAAAAGTCTCATGTACTTTCCTGCTTGGGCTGGTTTCAAACTGTGAGAAAGAGTATTCTTTTCTGTTAAACTGAAGTGTATTTGATACTGCGTATTGACATTTCATGAAATGTTTTGTTTTATTTACTGCAATTGTAACTAGTATTTGTACTGCTTGTTACTAGCTAGCCATGTTAGGGGGATAAATCTTGTGTTGGAGAAGTTAAAATAATAAACTGTAATTGCTAAGTAAAAAAAGAAAAAAGAAGAAAAAACACCCTTTGACAAGAATTAAGAAATGGCTCACTTTCTACCCTTGGTAATCAATTGTACTTAGACCCTGAGCCTAATTCCTTCACAAGGAGGAGGGATGATTGGGATTGAGAAAAAAGCCTAGGAAACTGCCCTGCACAGGGTGCCTGCCTAGCTCTGGGTAGAGTAATGGCGTTGCACCCCTTTCTGCAAAAGTAAATTGCCTTAATGAAATGCCCTCTTGTGTGTCTATTCATTTCTGACACCAGAGAATTGTATGTTTCTAACAGAAACGTGATTCCTAGATCTCAGCCTCTCCTGAGTAGCTAGGATTACAGGCATGAGTCACCCCGGTGCCTGCCTCCAGATGTTATTCTTGACTGAGTGTCATGCAGTGAGCTCTAGCATGTAGTTCTGCATATGGAGCTTCTACTTCCACCTAACCTAACCTGGAACAAGATCTAAAAAACTACACAGAAAGGTAAATATTCAGCTTAAAATTACATACTAATAGTGACAATATGCTATTATATTAAAGAGTAAGTCTGGGAAATCCTTGCAGATAAGGTGACTTTTTTGTTGTCTTACAGAATATGTGATCCTAGCTATTCAGGGGGGTAAGGTCTGAGGACCACTGTTCAGTGCAATCCTGGGCAGAAAAGTCTGTAGAACTGTTATCTCCAAATGACCATCAAAAATAGAGCTGCTATTCAAGTAATAGAGCAAAAACACAAATATAAAAACAAAAAACAACTGAGGAATAGCACCGAGGCCTTGAGTTCAGTCCTTGGTATTAGCACACACACACACACACACACACACACACACACACACACACACACATGCACATATGTGTCCATATGCGTGCACACACACACACACACACACACACACACACACACACACACGGGGGTGGGTTTGGAATGATAGGTTGGAACCAGGTTGAAACACAGTACATGAAACTAAGAACTTTGCTTTGTACATAATCGGGGTATTATTATGGGTTTTATAATAGAGGTATTATTTTTATCTTTTAATTTTTATTCTCTTTTTTGAGAATCAACTCCAGAGTTTCACACATGTAAGCTAGATAAGACCCTTGCCCTGATAAAGACATCTTTGGAGGCCACATGAAATGTGTTGAAACTAGAAGGACAAGGGAAAGTAGCAAGTTGCCCATGCTACCTTTTTGAGAAGAGATACAAACCAGTTCTTTTTTTTTCTTTTTTCTTTTGGTTGTTGGGCTTGAACTCTGGGCCTGGGCATTGTCCCTGAGCTCTACAGCTCAAGGCGAGCACTCTACCACTTGAGTCACAGTGCCACTTCCACAATTCTTCTTTTTAAATCATATTTTTATTATCTTTAAGTAGTTGTACAAAGGAGTTGCCACTCACCAAATGGATTTGTGAATACAATGTATCTTGATTGATGTTACCCCTTTCATTCTACCCCAGAATCAATTCTTTTTTTTTTTTTTCCTTTTTTGTGCTGGTCCAGGAGCCTAGGTGCTATCTCTGAGCTTTTTCACTCAATGCTAATGCTGTACTGTTTGAACCACAGCTCTACTTCCAGCTATTTTGGTATTTCATTGGAGATAAGAATTTCACAGACTTTCTTGCCTAGTCTGTCTTCGAACCTTGATCCTTAGATCTCAGCCTCCTGGATAGCTATGGTTATAGGCAGGAGCTTGGACAAAAAACAATTCATAATATGAAGTTTTCAGGAACTTTTTAACCAGCAGATGAGGGAAGTGAGTTATTTTGAAAGGTACATAAAAGTAATTATGAGCTGATGGTACCTGAAATACTATGTAGCATTGACATAGGACAAAAAGACCTAGAGTAGAGGCACATGCCTGAGATCTCAGCACTCCAGACACAGAGGTGAGATCCTGGTGAACTGAAGGCAATGCTAGGCTGTATAGGAAGACTTTGTCTCAAAGGAATAAAAAAGACCAGAATAACAATAGACAACTAAAGGAAACCAAATAGAAAATAGTTATAAATATTTTAAAAAAACTTATACCCAGGATGGCTTTGGCTGCCTTCCTCCTGCTTTTGCTAAAGTTATAAGCTTGAGCCATCTGGCTGCCTAATTTTCCTTATTTTTCAAACAGGCTCTCAACTTCTTGCCCATAATCCTCCTGATTTCTGTCTCCCAAGTAGTTGGAATTATAGGTATAAAGTACCAATTCCAGCTTTTTATAGGTAACTTGGCATCTTATTTTAAACATAAAAGAAAAATAGACTTGATTAAAAGCTCTAAGAATAAAAATAAAATTTATACCTGATTCATGTAACTGTAACCTCTCTGTATATCAACTCTACAATAACATTAAAAATAAAAATAAATTTAGTATATAAAAAATGAAACTTAAAAGGTATCAGACATTTAGGACAATATCAGTATATGAAGAATTTCTATAAACCACCACAACATGAAAAAGCATCATAGCAGAAAAATGGCAAGAAAAATAAAGAAGCATTTCAAGACACAAATAGAAATAATGCATTCACATTCAAAAGTTCAACTGGGAATCTGGACTAGTGGTAGAGTGCTTGCCTACCACGCATGAAGCCCCAGGTTCGATTCCTCATTACCATATACACAGAAAAAGCCAAAAGTGGCCCTGTGGCTCAAGTGGTAGAGTGCTAGCCTTGAGCTGAAGAGCCCAGGGACAGCGCCCAGGCCCAGAGCTCAATGAAAACAAAAGTTCAACTTGCTAGGGTGAATAATGAAAGGATGACTTCGAATCAAGACACATCGTATTAAGCGTAAAACCGCCATTTTTGCTTCTGGTTCCTGCTTGCTTGCTTTGGTAAACATCAGCCCATATCATTAACAATATCAGTCATGCTGACCTAGTCAAGATGTTTTGATTATGCTTTTGTGCCTCAAGGCTATGTTTTGCTTCTTGCTTGCTTCCCTTAGTAGCAAAGCCCTAAGCCCACAGGTAGCACCACCACTGTCCTCCAATGCAAGACCGCCACCATGTGGTTCCACTATGGGCAGCCTATTGCAAGTTATTATGTATGGTATTTACCATACAGAACAAACGAATTTAAAAGTCACATAAATAACCAATGAAAATGTGCCAAACCAGACTTGCATAGCCTGTCTCTGTAATACTATGTAACCTACCCCTATAAAAACCCATCCTGCCCTGAACTCGGGCTGTTCTCCTACTTTCCTGATAGTAGGAAGTGGTTGCTGCGTGGCTGGAATAAAGTTCCTAGCTCCTTTAACTGAGTGTTTTGGAATCTCTTTTGAATTTGGTATACAATATTAATGAACTGCTTTGTTGACTGGCAATTCTTTTGTACAACTACTTAAAGATAATAAAATGTATTTTTTTTAAAACACAATTTGCTGATAACAAAATAAAAGTCAATAAAATGGAGAAGTAAATAAACAAAACATAGATCAAATAAGGCTAAGGCATTCAAGTGGTAGAATGTTTGCCTTGCTAGTACAAGGCTTTGAGTTCAAGCCCCAGCACTACTCCCCAAAAGCAGATAAAATAGAAATTTACTCAAATAAAAAAATCATTAATTATTACACTCAAGGGGAGATAGAGGTATATCTGGGTAGCGATAAACACAGAAATGCTTATGAAGAAACAATTTTGTGTGTGTGTGTGTGTGCACATGCACCAGTCCTGGGGCTTAAACTCAAGGCCTACATATTGTCACTGAGATTTTTTTTTGTTAAAAGCTACCACTTGAGCCACAGCTCTGTTTCTGTTTTTTTTTTTGGTGGTTCATTGGATGTAAGAGTCCATGGACTTTCCTGTCTTGACTGGCTTCAAACCTCAATTCTCAGATCTAAGCCCTTCTGAGTAGCTAGCATGACAGGCCTGAGCCATAGGTGCTTGGCAAAAACTTTAGGGAGAAAAATTTGATAGTGTATGTTAAACCTCATTATGGATTTACAAGAATGGCACAGAGATAAAGGAGATGGAGAAACACACCTCTTCCCCCTCACACAGGCAGAGATGTTCACACAGTGGGAAAACTTTGAAAAACATAAATGCGGGACTGGGAAGGTGGCTCAGTGGTAGAGTGTTTGCCTTGCATGCATGAGGCCCTGGGTTCAATTCCCCAGCACCACATAAGCAAAAAGAAAAAAGCCGGAAGTGATGCTGTGGCTCAAGTGGTAGAGCGCTAGCCTTGAGCTGAAGAGCTGAGGGACAGCGCCCAGGCCCAGAGTTCAGGCTCCACGACTGGACCCCAAAACAAAACAAAACAAACCATAAGATGCACAAGAACAGAGCTGATGGGGGCATGATGTCTCCACAAAATTTCTGGAAAGCTGACACAAGAGAGACAGAGAAGAGACATCAGCAAATGAAATGAAGCAGCTCTCAAGCCAGAGCCATGTGAATGCCATAATGCAGACACACTCAAAAACCGAAGGCAGGAAGGGTGTGCACCAAGCTTTAAGATTTCTTGAGGGGCTGGGAAGATGGCTCAGTGGTAGAGCGCATGCCTTGCATGCCAGAGGCCCTGGGTTCAATTCCTCAGCACCACATAAGCAAAAAGAAAAAAGCCAGAAGTGGCTCTGTGGCTCAAGTGGTAGAGCACTAGCCTTGAGCTGAAGAGCTGAGGAACAGCGCCCAGGCCCAGAGTTCAGGCCCCATGACTGGACCCAAAAAAACAAACAAACAAAAGATTTCTTGAGTGTGTATTATGACACCTTTCTTCCTTGGGCTTTGCCTTCTATTTACTTTCTTTCTTTTTTTTTTTTTACAGTAACAAAGAAATCCACTGGAACAATAGATCTTTAAAGCAACACAGGGTGTTGCTACATGGTCTAGAAGAGCCTTAAACTTCAACTCCTCCTGCCTCAGCCTCAGGACACTGGCACACTCAGTCTGAACTCAGGAAAAAGTCACATAGAGCCCTCACCAGAACAGAATTGCTCTTCCTTTCACATTTCATTCTTGTACATAATCTTCAACTCAAAGACTAGTGGAAATATAACCTTCTTTTCCTCAGGGTTGTTGACTTTTGGATCCCTCAAACAAAGAGAGGGCTCTGGGGAGCTAGGGATAGTGCAAAAGTCTTAAAGGTCTGGTTTCACTGAGTCACAGAACATGGACTCATAGGAAATGAGCCAGGGTGACCGCCCAGAGCACTGAGCTATGCTGAGCCGCTCCACCTCCCATGGCTCTCAGGCATAAATGCAACAGGGATGGTGGTTAAACATGGTGTAAAGAATTGTTTTTGAGATCATTTACTTGACTCTTACAAATAGCCTGCCACTGGCTATTTGCCACTGCCACTGTTGCTATCTATCCATCTATCTGCTTGTCTGTTTGACTCTCATGTTCTAAACCTCAGGGGTCTTTTTCCTGCAAAAAGACAGGTTCCCTTTTTACAGTGGGAGCATATGTGTGTACATGAGAATTCCCTAATAAGCAACATAAAGTTTCTAGACCAGACTCATCTTTTAACATATGATGTCAGCCCAGACTTGCCATATCCTCTTGTCTCAGTTTCTCAAGTGCTGGTGTACAGAAATGTGCCTCCATGCCCAGCACAAGATTCTTTTTTAATCCAACAAGACATTGCAGAAAGAGCCAAAGTCATGAACCAACTCATGAACATGAAACTCATATGGCCAGATTGTAGAACTCCTGTTGCTCAAATGTCCCTGGGAACTGGTATTGGTCTTGTCAAAGTTCTGGAGTGATTCTGCTATACAGTCAAGTCACAGACAGACAGACAGACAGACAGACAGGGGGAGACTCAAAGAGGGAGAGACAGAGACAGACACACTCACACAGACTGATACTGAAATCTCTATTTCAGAGAGTAAAACAGACAGACAGACACACAGAGAAACACCTGCTCTCCCATCAGAGCACCCAGGGCTATGTTGAGAACCCAGTGTCAGCTTCTTTCTCTTCTCAAGTTCAATTTCCTTGGCTGTAATATGATGCATTGATTGGAACTCTAATATTATACTTAGTTTCACAAGTCACTCACATAGTACCCCAATTTTAGAGATAAATCATAATTCACCAAATCCTAGAATTATTGGAATAACAACTAGATCTTAGGGAATATGGTACTAAGTTCATTATAGGTTTTCCCCCAGCCTCCTAGATTTTCATACTTAACCCATCGGAGTTGAGATTAATATACTGAAGAATCAAAGCCCAGGTCACATGTGCTATCAAATGCTCTAGTATAAAGGCACATCGCAGGATATTAAATGACAGCTTTCATGTCAGAAGCAAGTTACCTACCATGGTGATGAGCAGGATCCCTTACAGCAGGTGCACTCAAGGGAAACTTGAGGCAAACCCCATGACCAGGTTGCACATTTATACAAGCCAGGGTAACCACACCTACAACACCCTTAGAAAGATAAGGTCCCAAGAACACATTGGGTATTTACAGAAGGCTGATTCCCAACAGGAACTTGTGAGTTTGTATGATTTATGAGTTATTCACATATCAGGTAACAACCCAATTGTGTGTTTACCCTGTTTCTACCCCTGGTATGCATTTGCCACTGACCTGAAAGCTCACAGGAAGAATTCTCCCTCTGTTGGGTGGATTGCTAGGCAAAGGCCATGTTCCTGATCTCATGCACCAAGAAACAGGTTCAGCAGCACCAGTTGAGACAGCCAGATGCTGCAGCTGGGTTTCCTCATGTCCTGAGAAGAGCCCAGTGGGTTGGCCCAGAGCACACTGCCCTTAGGGTCTGGGGCCCTATGGTCCGGTTTGGGGACTGGATTGAATAGAGAAAATGGATCTGGGAAACAGGAGCAAGGAACTCAGAAATAAACATTGTAAACTTAGCTTACTTGATGAGTAGTACTCAGGTACCGTATTCTTTTATTAAGCTTTATGCTCCTCATAAACAATCGCAGATAGTAGAGCTATGCCCCTGTAAGGGATTAACTGCCCTGGGGACAAATAAATGGTATTCCTGTACTTGAACTTCACAAGGAACCACACATAGAAATACAAACAGCCCTGGTAATATTCCTATAGAAAACTGGAAGTGGCGCTGTGGCTCAAGTGCTAGAGTGCTAGCTGAGAGACACTGCCCAGGCCCAGAGTTCAAGCCCCACTAACAACAACAAAAACTTCTGGTCCTGATTCAGAAACATCACTTTCAAAGAATTCTCCATGGTGAGAATTCACTTTGGTAGCAGCTGGGACTTGCCCTGCAGCCTCCTGGCTTTTAGGCACAGATGTGTGCCTTGGGCTCCACACAGAAGATCCAAGGGAACCAGCATAGACCTCCGGGCTGTGTGGTTTTAGCTCTTTAGCACTTTCTCATCTCCACCATGCAGTGTCACCATGTGAAAGGCAGAAACTCTGACCAGTGGCAAAGTGGTCTTTCTTGAGTCACATGGATGAAGAATTCCAGTGGCAATCCAAGTCTGTGTTTTTGGCCTTTCACAAAGTCTAAGATCTGTCTGACATCCTTTAAAAATGTTACCCTTTTTTGGGGGGCTCGAGCGAGCTAGAACAATTCTATGACTGTAAGTAGCCATCTTGGGGCTGACATCTGACCTAATTCTACTTTTCCCAATGATCAGTGCAAGGTCTGGCATGGAGTAGTTGCACAGCATCTGGGTTTTGTGGTTTTGTTTTACTTTGCTTTGTGGTGCTAGGAATTGAACCCAGGGTTTTACATGTGCTAGACAAGCACCTTCCACTGAGCCCCATCACAGGCTGCACTTGATTTGGGGGCATGTATCACAGGACACACATCTAGCTGTGTCCAGCTTTCTTCTCGGTGCTCTATCCTAGCTACACATGGGCAGCCTAGGCAGATCCCTGATGTTTCTTTGTGGATCCACCCAGCTTTCTTATCTACCTGTATATCTTCTCTCCAGTGCTGCCACTCAGCAGTACTTCCGGAACAGACTTACATCTCACCTGGCGCCTGCTCTGCTCTGACCTGTTTCTTATCTCTTGCCTTTTGCCAGGGCTCTGAGAATCATCTCACTTGGCAGCTCCCTGTTGAGTTTCCCATCTTCTGCCCCCTCCTGACTAAAATGTCAACTGTTTCATTCATGACTCAGACATATACTAGTTATTGCAAATAAGGGAAATCATGGGACCTATGTTTCTTTGGGCCTGGCTTACTTCACTTAATATAATTTTTTTTTTTTCGGTTGTGGGGCTTGAACTCTGGGCCTGAGTGCTGTCCCTCAGCTCTTCAGCTCAAGGCTAGTGTTCTACCACTTGAGCTACAGTGCCATTTCCAGTTTTCTGGTGGTTTATTGGAGATAGAAGTCTCACGGTCTTTCCTGCCCGGGCTGGCTTTGAACCGTGATCCTCAGATCTCAGCCTCCTGAGTAGCTAGGATTACAGGCGTGAGCCACCAGCGCCCAGCTACTTAATATAATTTTTTCCAAGTCTTTCCATTTCCTAACAAATGGGGCAATGTCATTCTTTCTGATGGAGGCATAGAATTCCATTGTGTATATATACCACATTTTCTTGATCCATTCATCTACTGAGGGGCATCTGAGTTGGTTCCATATCTTAGTTATAGTAAATAATGCTGCAATAAACATAGTCGTGCTGGTAACTTTAGTGTGGTCTTGTTTGTAAACATTTGGGTAAATGCCCAAAAGTAGGATTGCTGGGTCATAGGGGAGCTCTATGTGGAGTATTGAGGAACCTCAATACTGCTTTCCAAAGTGGTTGAACAAGTTTACACTCCCACCAACAAGGCAGTAAGGTTCCCTTCTGTCCACATCCCCTCCAGCATCTCTTGTTATTAGAGTTCTTGATTTTAGCCATTCTAACTGGAGTGAGGTGGTATCTCAATGTTGTTTTGATCTGCATTTCTTTTATGGCTAGGGAGGTTGAGCATTTCTTTATGTGTCTATTGGCCATCCTCCTTTTCTCTTCAGAGAAGTTTCTCTTTAAGTCTTTAGCTCACTTATTTATTGGGCAGTTGTTTCTTTGAAGATTTGTTGTTGGGGGATTTAATTTTCTGAGTTCCAGGTATATTTTAGATACGAGACCCTTGTCTGTTGTATAGTTAGTGAAGATCTTTTCCCAATTCGTGGGCTTTCTATTGATCTTGCTAGTTATGTCCTTTGCCATGCAGAAGCTCTGCAATTTCATGCAATCCCATTTGTCCTACCTTTCTTTGATTTGTTGTGTTTCTGGGTCTCTATTAAGAAAATTTCTTGGGGCTGGGAAGATGGCTCAGTGGTAGAGCGCTTGCCTTGCATGCATGAGGCCCTGGGTTTGATTCCCCAGCACCACATAAGCAAAAAAAAGAAAAAAAGCCGGAAGTGGTGCTGTGGCTCAAGTGGTAGAGCGCTAGCTTTGAGCTGAAGAGCTGAGGGACAGCGCCCAGGCCCAGAGTTCAGGCCCTACAACTGGACCCAAAAACAAAAAAAGAAAAAGAAAAAGAAAATTTCTGCCTGTGCCAAGGAGACCTAGGGTTTCTCATATTCCATCCTGTAATGTTTTCAGAGTGTCTGCTTTGATTCTGAGGTCTTTGATCCATTTGGAGTTGATTCTGGTGCAGGGTGATATATAAGGATCTGGCTTTAGTTTTCTACAAGTAGTTAACCAATTTTGCCAGCACCATTTACTGAAGAGGTTGTCTTTCTTCCATTCTTTTTTTTTTTTTTTTAAGCTCCTTTATCGAAGATTAGATGGCTTTAGGTCTGTAGGTTCATTTCTGGGTTTTCAATTCTATTTGATTAGTCCTAAGATCTGCTCTTGTGCCAATACCAAGCTGTTTTGATTACTATGGCTTTATAGTAGAGTTTGAAATTTAGTATTGGTATTCCTCCAGCAGTGTTCTTTCTGTTGAGGATTGTTTTTGCTATTTGGGGTCTTTTATTATTCCATATGAATTTTTGGATTGCCTCTTCTATTTCCTTGAAGAATGAGGTTGGAATTGTGATAGGTATTGCATTGAATTTGTAGATAGCCTTGGGAAGTATTGCCATTTTCACGATGTTGATCTTTCGATTCCAGGAGCATGGGAGTTTTTGCCATTTTCTAAGTTCTGTTTTGATTTCCTTTTTCAATTTTTTAAAGTAGATACAGTATTTTATGAGATATCATGACTTTGGAAACTAGTAAGATCATGAAATCATGGGTGATGGATCTCAGCCCCATAAATTTATTCATCTTAAACATATTTTCTGTTTGTAATATTGATACTAATAATTACTTGATTTTATCATGAGATTGAATAATATCACACATGTTAAACGACATATTTAATGCTTATTGCACTGAATATGCACTGTCATTAATGTGAGAAAGATAGAAATTTAGTCACATAAACAAGTACACAATACACATTATTGATTTTGAAAATGACTTTCAGTTTGAAGAGGCTTGTTCTGGGTTGTGGAAAATAAAAAAATCAGAACTTTCAGTTGTTTATATAAACAACTGTTTATATAAGACCTATTTTATTTTCAGGATAATAAATTAGTTACAATACACAGACCTGCCAAGATAAAGGACTTGAATATTACTCATGAAATGTTGCCCACTGGCATAAGAACAACAAAGACTGGCAGATGAGCCTCAGATGTGCTGCTGACAGAGGTTCAATATAGGCTAGAGCTTAAGGGTTTACATGTGTAAGTCTAGATCATTTTTTGGGGGGGGGGGGTCCGGTTGTGGGGCCTGAACTCTGGGCCTGGGCGCTGTCCCTCAGCTCTTCAGCTCAAGGCTAGCGTTCTACCACTTGAGCCACAGCACCATTTCTGGCTTTTTTCTTTTTGTTTATGTGGTGCTGATGAATCGAACCCAGGGCCTCATGCATGCAAGGCAAGCGCTCTACCACTGAGCCACCTTCTCAGCCTAGTCTAGATCATTTTTAATGAACGGTAGTACATCAGTTTATCAGACTCTAGCAGGGGCCTGTGCCTCAAAATGATTAAGTTCTATAAATGTAATAAATATAGATGCTTCGATGAAATTTAACAGAAAAAGGAAAATTGGAATGTTCCTTAGATATTTATCTCATTTTATTCAAGTTATATGTAACCTTATAAAACATTAATGAACTTAAACCCAAAAAGTAACTCAATTTGTTCAAGGTTGCCAAGTTCAGGATTAGAATGCTAAAGAATACAGAAAAAATATTGAAAATAAGACATTGTAATAATATTGTAATATTACATATGAGGAAAGATTATTTTGGTTCTCTGAAAGTATTGAATAAAAAATAAATTGATGAAAATAGGCTGATTACCTGTATCCAAACAGGGAATGTTCATGACCAACTCCTATCGGCTTAATCACCTGCATGAAAACAAATATT